GAGGGAGGGAGGGGGGAGAGAGAGAGAGAGAGAGAGAAGGGAGGGAGGAAGGATACAGGGAAGAAACAAGAAAAATAAAGAGTAAAGGTGAGGGAAGAGAAAAGTGAAAGAAAAGGCACACAGACAGGAAAGGAAGAAATGTCTTTTTTTTTTTTTTTTTTTTGGTCTTTTTGAGACAGGGTCTTCCTGTAGCCCCAGCTGTCCTGGAACTCACTATGTAGACCAGGCTGGCCTTGAACTCACAAGAGATCTGCCTGCCTCTGCCTCCTGAGTGCTGGGATTAAAGGCATGTGCCACCACACCTGGCAAAAAATGTCTTTATTAGCAAATGACATGACTGTCTATGTAGAAAATTCCAGAAAATCTACAAAAACAAAACAAAACAAAAATGGTAAATCTCAGAACCAACAAGTGAGTTTATCAAGGTCATGGAATATGATACAACCATGTTCTTCTATAAGAGCAATGAACAATGTCATCTAAAATTTGAAGAAAAAAACTAACAACAAAAAAAGGTAAAAATATAAATCTAACAAAATATAAGAAAATTATGTCTATGGGAAATTACAAAACACAGGAAAAAGAAATAAATGTCTAAATGTGTGGAGGGCTGTGCCATGTTCATGGGCTGAAAGTGCTACATTCTTCATTGAACCCACAGAGTTAACACAATCACAATCAAAATGCTCAATGAGCTTTTCTGTAGATTTAGACAAGCTGATTCTAACGTATATAAAATGGCAAGGGAAACAGAAAAGTCAAAATAATCAAAAGAGGAACAAAGTGTGTCCCCTCGAGGACTCACCACAAATCTACACTAAGGTGATGCAGCAAAGGGCCCTTCTCAGAGCTAGCACCATGGTATGTGTACTTCTAGTCTCCAAAAATGTGAGTGAAAGAAACTCTTATGTACCCAGGCCCCCACAACAGTAATGAAAGCCCCAGGAGTGAGCATTTAAATAGAACACCAAATGCTTGATCCATGGACTTCGTAAAAATGAAAAACTCTGAATTTGAAGAAGAAACTTCCAGAGGCTGGAGAGAACTGGCTGCTCTTACAGAGGACCTGGGTTCCATTTCCAGCACCCACATAACACCTCACAACTGTTCTGTGGGCATTGCATGCACAGGTGCACTATCATACATGCAGTCAAAACAAAAAAATAAAAATAAGTCAAGAAAAATTTTTAAATATTTTATTATATGAGTGTATTGCCTGCATGTATGTAAGTGTATTCCACATGCAATGCCCACAGAGGTCAGAAGAAGGTGTTGGATGTCCTGGAACTGGAGTTACAGATGGTTGTTAGCCTCCATGTGGGTGCTGAGAATTGAACCAGGGTCCTCCAAGCAGCCAGTGCTCTTAATTGCTGAGCCAACTCCAGCCTCAAAAAAAAAAAAATTTTTTTTTAAGTTCCAAGAAAATGAAAAGATGAGCCACAGTCCATGAGGAAGTATTTGCCAAGCACATATCTGATAAAGCATTTGTATCTAAAACATTTAAAACAAGAAATAAGAAAATTCAGCTCAAAAAGAGGAACAGAAAAAGGTAAAAGATGTGAACAGACACTAAACTGTCCATCACGTACAGATACAGATGACAAGTAAACACAGGAAAAGATATACAGTGCCACCATCACTGGAGAATGCCAACCAAACGAGTGAGGTGCTAGGCATGGTGGTGCATGCTTGCAATCCTAGTACCTGGGAGATGGAAGATTAGCAGTTCAAGGTCATTCTCAGCTATATAGCAAGTTCAAGGCCAGCCAGGGCTACTTGAAACCATCTCTTAACAAACCAACCAACCAACCAAATAACTAAACACTCAAAACCCAGTGAGGTGCCAATCTGGAAAAATCTGACAAGCTCTAGAGGTTACCAAGCTATAGGAATTCCTGTTCATTACTGGGGGTTGGGGAATGCAAAATAATGCAGCTACTGTGCCAGGATGTTGTCAGGTTCTTTACAGCTAAACAAAGGTAGATGAGGCCCGTATGACCCACCATAGTGTTCTAGGGTATCTACCCACATGAACTAGAGACTTACTGTACACAAAACCTCCACACCATGTTCAGAGCTTTGTTGGTAATCACTAAAACTGGACATAGCCAAGATGCCTCTCAATGTGGCAATAAACTACATCATTCATATAGTGGGATGGCAATCAGGTATGAAAAATGCAGGAGCTATTGATTCAGCAACAATGGGATAAGAGGTAAGTGCAGCCTGCCCAGTTAAGTCCAGACCTTGGCTGGGTGTGGTGGTGCACGCCTTTAATCCCAGCACTTGGGAGGCAGAGGCAGGCGGATGTCTGTGAGTTCAAGGCCAGCCTGGTCTACATAGTGAGTTCCTGTCTCAAAAAGACCAAAAAAAAAAGGGGGGGGGGTCTAGACCTTGAAGATGCAAACTGTAAGGTTCAACTCACAAATTCCTGTTAAAACCCACACAGGAATGCATAGCACACAAACTAAAAAAATGAACAGAGAATGCAACCAGGGTGTTGGGGCAAGCCAGGAGGGAACAAGTACTTTGACAAGTGGAGCCAACTCCCTGACAAATATGACATGATCTCCCTGACAGAGGGTGGGAAGGTGTCTTCAGGGATAAGGACAAAGGAACCATGCCAGGATGGTATTCTGGTTGGCTCTGTCCCCTGGGGTCTGGGTGAACACTTTGGAAGTGCTTTGTTTCTGTATGTGGTTGAATGAGCACACACAGGAAAAGGGGTATGGAGCAGGGTCCACAAAGGGAGGCTGAGCATGGCCTGGGTACCAACCAGAATCCAGCCTTTCAGGCACTTGAGTTTCCTTAAGAAATAGTTTGGGGTTTCTCACATCATTCTCCACTCAAAGGAATGGGGCCTCCTTGGAGAAATGGTTGATCCCAGGGCCAGGCAGAAGACTAGAAAAAAATGCAGCACTGTAAGCTATGGAATGAGGAGCCACCCTAGCAACTGGACAGTAGCACTTCAGAGGGACGAGGTTCACAAAGGGAACAACCACCAGGGACCACAGCTGGGACAGGCTAAAGGATAAGTATGCACCAATCATGAGAGAGAATAGCTAGGTATAAACCAGACTGGCAGGAGTCTCAGCAAAATAAGTAGTCAGTAAACAGAAAACACAGCTTTCCTCCCAGAGGATTGCCAAGAAGTGCCTGCAGACACCCCCCAGGAGCTAATGTGGGGTCCCTTTCCCCCGGAATATAAACTAAGAGACCAGCAACGGACACAATCCTGGCAGACACACTTTAACTGGGTAACTCAGCATAATGTGTAAATGTCAGGTGTGACAAGAAAACCCTCACAGTGAGGGGACTCTTCCCCAAATCTATCATCTCAGGTCTAACCACCAGGAAGCATTGGATCAAACACAGATCCAATCTGAGGCACATTCTGCAGAACACATGGCCAGGATTGTTCCACATGATCACAAGAGAAAGCAGGACAGTCTGTGTCTCCCAGACTGGGGGACAAAGGAAACACAAGGGTAATGTGGGTTCCCCAGGTGGGTCCTGAGCTTTAGTAAAAAACCCACAGTGTGAAAGAATGGCTAAGCAAATATTCCTTCAAAGATGGTTACTAAGTCAGTCATGGTGGTGGTTCCAGCACTTGGAAGGCAGAGAGAGGCAGATCTCTGTGAGTTCAAGGCTAGCCTGGTCTACATATTGAGTCCAGGCCAGCCAATACTCCACAGTGAAACTGTCTCAAAAACCAAAAGCAAAACAAAAACAAAAAGACAGCTACTGTCTCTGAGTATATGGCAGCAAGATGGCTGAATGCCATCTCCCTCTAGCCCAGGAGGCTCCTAGAGCTACCAGAGGCCTAGCACAAGGCTCATCATGCCTCTGCCTCCACTATTGAGCAGGAGCACCCATATCTACCTGCCACTGCACCCCTAAGCAGCCCAGAGGATATCCACAGCTCACAGCCATGTGGGCAGCACCAGCTTCTGAGAGAGCAAGATGTATGTATGGGTGCACACGTGGACATGAGCATCCTCCAGCAGGTGGCCACACAAGGGGAATGGAGAAGGTACCCACTTAGCAAGCTCACCCCAAGTACCATTCTCACTGTGCTGGATACACTGCTTTCCATATATGGCCCTCAGTTGCATTGCTACAGTGCTGGAAGCCCCTCTCTGGGCACCAGGATTCAAACTATATAGGAAAGAAAGGAGACCTGGTCTCCTAATTCATCAGTTTCAGAAAGTGGCCCTAAGGCAGGCAGCATGGGAAACCATCTACTTACCAGGAAACAATAGTGACAGATGGGCTTAGGTTGAGGAGAAGTCCTATGTTACTGTCAACTCACAGAACAGATGAGAGGAAGAAAACTTCAAACATCCTAGACCTCAGAACATAACCAACCACCCCCCAGGAAGAAATCCCAGGTCACCTTTAAAGATGGCCTAAGAGACCTCCAAGGGGTAAGTGAACCCTTGTAAGCTCTGAGCATGTGCAAGACCTTGGGTTCAATCTTTAGCACCGCCCCCCAAAGGTAGCTCTTTTCTCTCTTTTAGACATCCTATAATCCTATATAATGCAGAATCACCCAGAAACATCTGTCACTGCTCTTGCTGACTGCAGTCAAACCTCAGGCTGTGGCACCACAGGCCCAAACACTTTCCCCTCAGTGTCAGGGGCAGAGCTGTGATGTCTACCTTCTAAGCGAAGTACAGAGTGAGTGGCACCTGATAGGGCCTGTACTGCCCAGTGGCTGAAAGGCACTCATAGCCCATGAGCACTCAGAACCAAACAGGCAGGATGTCAAGGGCATTTTCTGTTCTGCTTTCTCCTCAGCCAACAGTTTGGCAAACAACAGGGTATATGCATGTTCACTGCCTTGATTCTGCCCCTGGCATCTGAGGGGGGTGGGGTGCAGCCATCTCTCAGGCAACTTGATTTGCCTTAATAAAGTCTCAGCTATGGTAGCCTTTTGAGTGTTATTTAAATCTGCCTTACCTGTCAGGGAGTCATTAAACTGTGCCACATGTAAATGGGAAAGGCAACTACAAGGAACACACCACAACGACTACTCAGCACACGTATCTAAACCAGGGTGTGGGTTTCAAGCCCCCTTGAGTACAATTCCTGCTCTTAGGCAGTTTTTTCTTTTTATTTATTTATTTTAATTTTATGTGTATGTGTGTATTGCCTGCATGTAGGTAAGTGAAATACCCTCAGAGGACAGAAAAGGCTGTCGGATACCCTGGAACTGGAGTTATGGACAGTTGATAGCCGCCATGTAGGTGCTGGGATTCGAACCCGGGTCTTCTGCAAGAACAGCCAGTGTTCTTAACTGCTGAGCCATCTCTCCAGCCCCTTAGGCAGTTTTTTCATTATACTTGGGGACAGCACCAGGCCTGACCAGAGCTCACACTGCCCCATACTCTACAGACACTGAAATCCCACAGCTGAGGCAGAGAAGCCCAATCTCATGAGTTGTTCAGGTTTAGAACCCAGTCCTTTCAAAGAGCAGCATCCTGTGCTAAACAGATGGGTCTCATCAGTTGTCTAGTGTCCCCTCTGCAGCCTCAGCTCTCCTGGGTGCTCCTTGGAATTCAAGAAAGACACTGATGAGCAGCAAGGCTGGTGCTCCAAATACCTGGGCCCTGGAAATAGTGAATAGAAGGCATGGCCTAAGCCAGGGGCCTGGCCACTCACTGCAGCTCACTAAGCCACATACCAAATATGTTCTCTTTATTGGAGCTGCTGATGATGTCACTAGGCAAGTATGCTGTGATGTATATGTGAGTTGAGGTGCATGGCAGGTTCCACGTTAGTGCCTGCTCAGGGACTGGAGGCCACGCATCAGTGACAGGTCAATCTTTATCCAGATGACTTAGATAGCATCTGTTGGAAAGCTGCTCTCAGTAGTGCCATGTCTTCAGCTTCCATAGCATTGCCCTGTAGCCACTCCATGTGGGTTGTGCACCTCTGCCCTGTGTGGAGCTCCCCTGCCACCTGTACAGACACACTGGAACTGCTCTGGAAGGAACTGCACAACACCAGGTGGTGTGTACAAGCCTGCTGCTAGTAGGCAGCCTCTGGGTCTGGTTTTAAGGTGTCATCAGCAGGCCACATTAATGCTGTTATTCATCCCACAGTTTTCTGACCAGTATCTTCACTTTATTAAAGACCGTCCCTTTTCTTTTTTTCTTTTTCCTGACAAGGTCTTGCTACATAGTAGCCCAGGTTGGCCCCAAACTCCAAACCCTCCTGCCTCTGCCTTCCAAGTGCAGGGATTATAGGTATGTGCCATCACACCATCAGATGCTTTGGACACAATGTACATGAGGTCAGACCTGGCCCCATACCCACATCTCTTGAGGGGGATTCTCAGAGTGCACCTGGCCATGTCTATTACAAGTCTTTCCATGGTAGAAGCACTGTTGAATTCAACATTCAGGTGAAATACCTAGACAGCGCATCATTCTGGAAGGATCTAAGAGTATAACTCATAGTGCAGTTAAATCCACAACCTTCTAAAGGATGTACATGCAGGACTGTTTGCTAAGGGCCTTCTTAACAAAAAAACCACAACACTAGAAGATAGGAAACCTAAAATGCTAGTCTACAAGTACACACACAAGAAAGAAAAGCACATCACAGCAAATTGGTGCTAGAATCAATTTAAACTCCACCCCACCCCAACACTGAGGCTCTAGTCCTGGTGGAGATCAAAGGTAACAATGCTCACCTGGGAGCCCCTGAGCCCATCTGCAAAGCACCCGCAGCATAAAGCCACCTGGTGCCTCTGCCTGGCGCTCCCTGTCCAGTTGTTTCAGAGTCTCTGTATCCTTACTGTCTGTGAGAATACCAATTTTCTCATGATTCCTTAGTACTTCCTGGGATAAAACACAAGTCCAGATTTTTTTTTTTCTTAACTTTACAGAGTAGAAATCAAGTTTAGCAACCCCATAAGTACCATTTGGTAAGAACCCCAAATCTCCTCTGTACAAGGAAGTGGCCAGGCTGTCACACAAAATGCAAATGAACCTGTCTTCTCCATAGAAGAGCCACATGGATACACTCCAAAGCCTCAGAGACAATTCTTCATTTATCTGACGGACATGGATGAAGAAAAGGAATAGAAATGCCCAATGTCCACTGTGGACAGCCAGGCAGGGGTGATTACCCCAGCAATCACCCAAGCCTGGTCCCGCCTCTGGCCTCAAGGTTTCTTTAGCACTCTGGCCTTTCTTACCAACAGGCTGAGCCATGTCCACCAGTGTTCACATGATCCTCTGGGTATTAGGAATGGAGGTGGAAAGGAGCAGTTGGAACCCACAGCTGCTGCCACCAGGCCAATTTCCATAGGTTTTAAGCGTGAGCTATGTGTGATGGCCACAGGCAGGCCAGGCCCAGTATTAATGAGACAGGCTCTCAGCCAGCGCCGGGAGTTCAGGCTTCATGTGCCATGAGTTGGTCAGAGCTTCCGGGTCTACCTGCGGGTGCACCTCCTTGTGAATGGGAACAGCTGAGCTTATAGTAAGGAAACTTCAGAATGACCACCAGCCCCCTCAGCTCTACCTGAAGTGAAGTTCCCAAGGGCTCCCTAGACTCAGGTGGGTGTGGGGTGTTACAGTGGACTGTGAAAGCCTGCAGAATCAGAACCTAAGTAAAACCTGGAACTTCCCTGAGCTAAAAAGCTGAGCCTTGGGAAGCAGGGGCACACTCACCTCACCTGCCAGTGAAGCTGGCACCCTTCCTAGCTTGAGGGGACTGCACCAACTTTGGGTCCGGTTAGAGGGGGTGGTTGATAGAAAACCAAGTAGTCAGGCTAGGTCCAAGTTGCAGGCTAAGGACCCTCATTCTCCCCTAGACCTTGGAAACAAGACTTCGCATTGACTCAGTCCCCACGTACGAGCAGGAAGGAGGGGGCACACGAAGCGAGTGCATGGCAACGGCTTCACCTTCACTGGCTTGACCTCCTACCTGTGCCAGGTGGGGTGCGGGGGGGGTCCCGGGAGCGCGCGGAGGGGTGGGACAGGAGTCCAAGCTCAAGCAGGAGTGGGGTCGGGGGTCCAAGCGCTCAAGGGGAGGGAAAGGTGCGTGAAGAGGAGCGGTGTTTCCAGAAACGCACTGAGGGGCTGGTCCAGGAGCCCACTGAGCAGGAGAGAGGGCGGTCACCACGCACGGAGGGGTGGAACTGTGCGGGGCGGTGCAGGGTCCTAGAAGCGCAAAGAGGGGAGAGCGGGTGCGCACAACGGACAGGGTAACGGGACACCAGCGACAGCCCGCGCCCACCGGACACTCACAGTAAATGAAAGCGAGGGCTTTCAGGAGCACGACCCTGGTCAGCCAGAAGGTGCCCGTGCGCAGATGGACCCGGGAGCCCGCGGGATGGGGAGCAGGACCGGGGGGCCACCCGGGACTCCGGCCCGCATCCGCGACCTTCCGCCTCCTCAGCGACCCCTCGGGCGCAGCCATTACGCGACTTTCTCGGGCGCATGCGCATGAAGGGCGGGGTGGACGGACACCCCGCCCATTCCCCTGGAAAGCCATACCCGCTCCCTCGGCTGACACGCCCATGCCCTGGAGCCTCCACACCTGCGCGCAACTCCCTCTTCGGACAGCCCCACCCACAGGAGGGCATCTTCTTGGTGCTTGAGAGTGCCGCACCTGCCCGCAGAACTCCAAGTCCAGGTGAGGAAGCGAAAGGAACTGGTGGAAGACCGCACGTCCTCACCATCTAGCCCGAAAGAACAGGCCTAGGGCAGCGGCCGAGCAGGGGCTTCACCCAGGGCTCCCTGGTTGCCAGCCGTCTTGGAGTGGTAGGTGCCTCACAGATGCCCCATGACCACCATTTCCCCTCGGCGGGGAGAATGCCAGACGACTTTCAGACTGTGAGCAGGGAGCCTACAGCTTCCTAACCTCCCTAAACTCTCGAGTCTGTGATTCCCAAAGACCAGGCCAGCACACCTGGTGGCAACTTTGATTTCTCATATTAGGGGCCAATCACTGCACGCAGGTGACACTGGAAAGGTTCATTGCAGCAGAAGAGATGTGTGCAGGGCAGTGGCACCACCAGCCTTGGGATTATGGGGCAAACTATAGGGCTCTTGGGAACAACTGGTATAAGTACAGAGTTTTCCTCATTTGTTTTTCAGAGCTCTTTACATATTAAGAACAATTAAAAATCTTGTTCCTTTGTGGCTTGTCTCTGCTGTTTTTAAAAAATATTTATTATTTTTATTTTATGTGTATGCATGTATTGCCTGCATGTAAGTGCACCCATGTCGTACAATGCCCTCAGAGGACAGAGGACAGTTGTTAACTGTCATGTGGGTGCTGGGATTTGAACCTGGGTCTTCTCAAGAACAGCCAGTGTTAACCACTGAGCAATCTCTCCTGCCCAAAAATCTTGTTCCTTTGTGGCTTGTCTCTGCTGTTTTTACATGTTGTTTTTAGCTTCTTTTTGTTCTTGCCGTTTTGACATAAAAATTACCAATGTTTGTGTGGTCAAACAACCCATTAGTGTTTATACCGCCACATCTGCAGTGAGTCTCGTGAGGGCAAGGGCTGGAATGGTTACTGGAACCCATCCTCCCTCCCCCCCATCTATTCCAGTCTAGCAACTGCTGGGGCTCCTTCCCAGACTCCTTGATGCTAGGGTACTAGCATATAAATACCTCTTCCAGAGTGATTTTTTGTTTTGTTTTGTGTAAGAAACATTTCCTTGAGCGCCCAGCTGTTAAGTGTGCAACATTACAGATACTGCAGTGGATGACACAAACACCTTCCACCTCCTGCCATGCCTCCCACAGGCCAGCATCTGCCCAAAGTCTCAAAACCCTGGAGACTAAAATAACAGTTGCCAGTTGCCAGAGGCAGTGTCTTGCATCCAAGCCCTTCCACCAGAGCCCTTGCTCTTGCCTCTCCTCCTCACTGGTAGGTGTCAGGCATGGGATGGGCCAGCAGGGATATTTGAGGAGGGCAGCTCAAGTCTGCAGAATTTTCCCAGGTTGTGTCTGGAAGCCAGAGCTGGGCAAGGGACAAAAAGAGAGGAAGAACTGCTGTGCCATCAGGTGTGACCCTGGGTGCTGTTGCTCAGGTGGGGACTGCCGTCACAAAGGGCCCTTTGTCCTCAGCTTCCCCTTGCAGGGGTAGCATTGTCCTCCCAGCAGAAGGGCACAATGGGGCATTGTGCAGAACATAAAATGGTCCCCTTGTTCCAGTATCCAGCACTCTGGCTGGGGCTGACCCTGAGCTCCCTCTCTGGGTTTGCCCAGGGTGGGCGAGACCAGCAGAAGGGTCTGCAGGGAGCTCTCATCCTCTGTGGCTCAAGTTTCCTGCCCCTGATGTGCCTTTCTGGGATGCTGTCTGGAACTGGCTGGAGAACGGGTCACACAAAGCAGAAATGAGCCAAGGAGAGGCCGGCTTGTGGCTGAGTTCTTGCCCATTTTTGCCTGAACTTAATCAAAAGTAGTACACTGGGAAGTTGGCATGATGGTACACACTTGTGATCCCAGCATTGTGAGCGCTGAGGCAGAAACATCACCTAAAGTTCAAGGCCAGCCTAGGCTGAGTTTTTTAAAAACTAAAAGCACTGGTGTATTATTCACCCATAAAGAAGAACAGAGTTTAACATGCCAGTGTGGATGAACCACAAAAACGTCAAGCTGCGATAAGTTGGACATGTTGTATTATGCCATTTGGCTGGCCTTGAACCTGCAGCAATCCTGCCTCTGCCTTCTCAGTGCTGGGATTAAAGACATGGGCCACCATACCTGACGTTGCCTCAATTAAAAGTTTTTAAAAGTACAACAAATGCAAAAACTACAAAGGATTACCCCCCCCCCTTCATTAAGTGGAGTATTTCACAATCACCTGGAAGGTGTTGCTTTCATTTGCTGTAGTAAACTATGGCTTACACCACACTTGCCTGTGTGTTGAACACCTGGCAGCTAAACTCCCAGGCCTAAATTCAGCTATGCTCCACATAGAAAGCAGAACCTCAGCAGAACAGCAGGGAGACTCATATACAGGTTACTGGCTAGGTGAGAGCCCTGAAATGTGCTTCTGTCGCCCAGAGGCCATCATGATACAGCAGGCTTTTAAGCATCACTTTCAGTCAAAAACTAGGACAGATAATCAACTAGGATGAGGCAGGGGCTGTCCCAGAGCTTGGAGCTGGGGAGGGGGAAGGGATGCCAAAAAAAGGAGAGGGATTCTAAGAAGGACTGCCAGATCAGGACTCAGATAGTGTCCCTGGAGTCCTAGGGCTCACCTGCCCCTAGCTGGGCTCTGTGCCTCAGCTGCCCACAGCCTCCAGCAGTGGCTGAGATGGGGATAGGGCATACTGCCCGCTGGCTGGCAGCTCTCCCAGCAGCTGCGGAATGGCTTCACAGAGGAATGAGCCCCCTGTCAGCACCTCGTCCAGCTGTCCCTAAGCACCCCAGCCCAGCAGTCCCCACTGCCTTGGGGGCCATTGTCCCTGACATGCAATTGCAGCTGTCTCTGACCCCCCAAGAACCCAGCTTGAGTTGAATCTAATCATGCACCGTTCATTTACCCTAATTTTTCATGTCTTGAAATATGCCTGTGAAAGAAAGAGAGGCAGGACCCACATCTGTCCCCTTCTCCTGGAGGGGTGGTCAGTTCGGGCTGGTCCTACCCTGACTGTCCAACAGCCAAAACCCACAAGAGACCAGCAGGTGTGACAATGAGCAGGTGTTGTGCCATTTGTTGGCTGGGCTCAGGCCATGACTCACAGGCGGCTGTTGTGTTGGCTAGTGCATCCCCAGCTCCCCTTGTACCCCAGGGAGGAGACAAGGCCCTGGGTGCCCACAGCCACTAAGCTGTGACTCTGAAGTGGAATGGAAGTAAAATCTCTTGTGCATGATATTCTCTGGGGCAGAGTCCTGTAGGGGAACATGGATATGTCCTTTGTTCCTGTTGGAACTATATTCTGAACTGGAAGAATTCTTGGAAAGCACCCAGCCTAGAGGTCAGAACCCAGAAGAACCCTGTGGGCTGATTCTGCCCACAGAGCTGTACTGGTCACTGCATCAGTCACCAACTGCCCCACTAATGCTGCCTAATAAAACAGTCCCAAACCAAACCACCATCACATGACCTGCAGGCATTTCTGAAACCTCTTAATCAAATTCAGGGGAATAAATGCTGGCCAGACAGTAGAAAGCCATTTATGGGTATGTTTAATTTGCCACAGACACGATAGGTATTTCGAACTTTCCTTCATGGCAGAGATCTGGGCTGATGGGGCTATTTCTTTGTTACATTTTTATTCTAAGCCACCATATTCCTTGCTGGTTACACTGGAAACAGGGTTCTGCTTAAATAAGTTGCAACTGCGAGCACAGAATGGGCAGGAAGACTTGCTGCAAAGTGGAGCTTTGGGAGAATGGACACAGGTCTCAGCAGCCTGTGGGTTTGAGTCCCCATCAGTGTAGTGTTTCAGCTCCTAGACCCCTTGTGTCTCAACTCTGCGAAGCTCATGAACTGCAGGAGTCTGGCATGGATCAGGTAATGGGGAAAGAGCAGGGTCAGGGTGGTGTGGGGCCCCCAGGATAAGCCTCAGGCAAGGGACTGAAGATCTAGGTATCTGAACAAACCTTTCTGATCCAAGGCACCCAACACCAACAGGCTGGGATGTGTGGGCCTGGGGACTGCAGAAGTCCCAAAGCAGCCCAGTTTAGACCACATCCACACTATCAACAGACTACCACTCCAGTGACAAATGTTGGCACTTAGCTGAGGGCTGAATGGTGCTCACTTCCACCAAGGAAAGGCTGCTTGGGAGTGCTGGGAACCCTACTGAGGATGACTTTGGTTTCAAAAGCACCTACTATCCAGCATCCAAGGGGAAGTACCAAGACCCCATGGGTGCTAGGGCCCTGACAGGGAGATGGATGGGACCAAGCCAGAAATTCAGGGACCTGAGTACCAGAGGTTGTTGGATGCAGAGCAGCAGAAACCACATCTGTTCCCAATACATCTGCAAGCCCTGCACACACCTGTCACGTTGCAGAGGATGAGTGTTGGGTCTCCATTGCATGGGTTAAACACCACTTCTCTTCCAGAATCCTGAGAACAGCCCATCTCACCCAGCTGTCATTAGTCACTCCCAAGGCAGTGTGGCTTACTGATTAGGAACACCCATGAAGCTCTAAAGATGCAGCTGGGTTGGAGGGAGCATGTCAACCCCTCTCTGGAGCCAAAAGCATGCTGGGGATGCTCATTTTGCAGCACAGCATGGCATGATGCAGGAGTGGGCTGCAGAGGGACCAGTTCCAGTCATGGAATGGCAGGAAAGTTGCTCCTGCAGGGCTGAGAGGTGGGCAGCATGGAGGAGTGGGTACTGATATCAGCAGGTCCCTGGCAGATGTCAGTTCTACTGAGGGACTAGCTTTAAGTTCAACTGGAACTTCCACCCAAGCCAGCTCTGATAGCATCCCTGGGATCACTGAATTAAGGTGGGGTGGGAAGCAGAGTGCTTGGCCTGGTGCCCTGAGCATGTTACTGGGAGGCCAGCCTTCTGTGGATGACAAGCAGAACTTCTGAGACCTTCTCCTGCCTCTGGAGAGGGCAGCCATCTACAGGAGCTCTGCTCCAAGTTCACCCTTTTGGCCCCATGTTTTGTTTCTGCCAGGCCAGTGTCAGTAATTAAAAATCTCCATGGCTGTGCTGGGATGCCCTGCCAATTGCCTGACGTACTGCTTTGAATGCAGGAGCCAAGGGAGAACCAGGCCAGGGTTGAGGACACACATATCAACCTTGGTTTCACAGGCCCACTTGCTCCCCATTCTCTAGGCACCTGGACCAGGTTCAGCCAATCAGATTCTCACTCTGGAACTGCAAAATCCATGACAAGATGATGGGGAAGTCCTGGGCTAGGATGAGGTCATGCAGACTGAAGGAGAACTACCACCAGCCAAGGAAAGAAAAGTCAAGAGGGAACAGTCCACACCTGGACAAGGTCCAGTGGCCCATAAGGTAGACCGAGACGTGGCTCCAATAGCTGCCACTCAACTTTTAAACAACTGTAGATCTCTGTGTTCTCAAATGCCCTGTGCCCTTTGCTGCTGCAGGACCTTTGCACATGAGGCCACATACAGGAAGTGCTTTCCTCCTTTCCTCAAGGCAGGAAGTTTCAGATCTCAGCTGAACTATCACAACCTCAATCCTTCTGGGACCATCCTTCTGAAAGCCCTCTTCCCTGCAGGGCCTATTGCAGTCCCCAGAGAGGACTAACTGCCTCCCCATCCTTAACACTAAGACTTCCAGCTTAGGGAACAAAGCAGGACCTTGACTCTGGGGCCCTAGGAGGCCCCGGCACAAAGCTATGTTTGATCATTCCAGGGCACACATGAACCCACCCTGGACATCTTCCTTTCCAGAAGCCACATCCTGATGTCTGACTAGAGGCTGAGGATGCAAATTGCAGTCAGCTTGAAAGGAATCCATAGGCCTGAAGGGTGCAATGGTCTCTCAAGATGACCAAGCAATGAGCCAGGCAGGAGCTCAGGACACCACCAGTGTGCCAATAGCCTGTACTAGGGCAAGTCTGACCCCTGAACCCGGGGGAGTTCGGGGTAGTACTCATGTACCAACAGCTTGTAATGGGCTCTAGGGTCTGACCGTTGAGCAGGACAGGGTCTGATGGGACAGGGCCCTCAAACTCCCTGACAAGTCACAGTGGCCTATATCTCCACAACAGAGGCTGGTCACCAGTCCCCAGGGGAGGGGAGTGCTGTCGCTGCAGCAACAGGAAGGTACAGACTATGGATGGAGCCAGGCTGAGCTCTACCTCCTTTCTGAGAAAGGATTTGAGAAGTAGGTATATGGTGGAGGGTCAGGAAGAGGCTGCCTGGAGAACCTGGGGTACCCAACACAAATTCAGCTTTGTACTTCTGTAGCAAAGTGGAGGGCTTCGTTAAGGCCTACAGACCTCAAGGCACTGGCCCAGGGAGGAGTGGGACCTAATCCCCGATGGACAGGTGCTGAGAGGAGCACAGTTTGGGCCTAATCGCCATTCTTGGCCCCTCCACTTACAGCTCTTCTGCTGATACAGATGGTGCTCTGACAGTGCCCTAGACAGGAGCCCTCGGGGGGCACCCTCACTTCAGAGATCTCTATGCTTTGGAGACACTTCCTTCCCAAGAGGTGGGCCCTTGAATGGAGGCACCCCCAAGAGAAATGAGAGTACCTGCAGACCCATGTGGGTCTTTCTTGGTAAGTGCCAGTTAAAGGAGGCAGATGGAGAAGGGGTGAGTTCATCAGACAATGGCAGCCAGCTCCCCACCCACTCATATTCTCTCTCTCTCTCTCTCTCTCTCTCTCTCTCTCTCTCTCTCTCTCTCTCTCTCTCTCTCTGCCCCCCCCCCACCCACACTCCGTCTCTCTCTCTCTCTCTCTCTCTCTCTCTCCCACACACACACACACACACACACACACACACACACACACAGAGGAAGGCACATGACACAAGCTTCTCTGCCCAAGCTGTCACCTCAGCAGGTGGCAGGGGCCTGGTAGTCTAGGCTCCAGGTCACTCTCTTCTTTATTTAGGTGCCCCAAAGCCACTCTGGTATGGATTTGGCCCATTCCAGAAGCAAGACTACACTGCAGGCAGGGCCTAGACTGAAGAAGGGGGCTCCCACACCTGAAGGCTGTGACACTACTAGTCTTGGCTGGAGTTGGGGGAGGCCAGTCTCCTGCAGCACATGATGAGACCTCCAGCCCCACGCCTATAGACTTCCCTTGTGGTCTTTTCTGGAAAGAGTCCCTCAGGTGGCACAGCAGGGACTAATGTTCTTCAGGATGCAGCATCCACTGGCTGGGGAACCAGGCGGTCTCAGGATCACCTGAGTCTTTACAGTCACAGCACGAAGCTCCCACAGTGAGTTTGGGGTAGTAGGTCTGTCGCTTGCCTCGAGTTTGGCGAGAGAATCCGAGCCGCCCTAGGGGACCTCTGGGCCTAGGGCCAGCTCGCGGGGGCGACCTCGGGCGCGGCTTGAAGAAGTCGCAGCTTGGCGCTGGCCTCTGGGGAAACGTCCCCTCTTCGACCCCGAGTTCTCCCCTCCTCTCCAGGCGCCAAGGCGAAGCGGCCTGGCCTGGCCTCCGCCTCTGCTAGACCACCCAGACCCGCCCGCCAGGGCCTCCGCGCCCCCGCTTCGGGTCACGCCCGGAAGGTCCCAGGCCCCCGCGTCCGGCCCCGCCATCCGCCCGCCGCCCCAGGGACCTGACAGCCGTGGCCAGTGCAGCCCGGCCCAGCGCCCCCGCTCCCCCCCGCTCGCAGTGTTGTCCGGCCCCGGGGTTCCCCGGCTGGTCCCGACGCGCGCTTTACCTGGGTCAGCTGGTGGCTCTTGCGTGCGGATCCCGGGTTTGGGTGCAACAGCGAATCCGGAGTCCTGGCGTGGAGAGAGGGATGTTGGGGCTGAGGAACCCGGTGGACCCGCATCCTTGCGGGGCGCCCAAGAGCCTCGCCTTGCAGCAGGGAACGGACCGTTAGGGAGTCACCCTTGGCCCTCTGACCCTGCCTAGCGCTCAGGGATCAAGCTGCGGGGCGCGGGGCCCACGTGGTGAGGCGGGAGGGGCGAGGCCCACCGACTTCCCTGGATCAGGGGCGGGGCATTCAGGCACCGCCCCAGGGGGGGCGCCTGCCAACCCGGGCCGGGAGGGGCGGGGCTTCGGCCGTTGCTTAAAGAAACTTGTTGCGGGTCCCCCAACAGAGACTGAGCTGCGGCAGCGGCGGCGACTGAGGAGGAGCTGGAAGTGGGCGGCGGAGGCCAGGACGAACGTCGGGTCCTGCGCTGCGACCTCAGATTTCAGAGAGGCAACAGCGTGCCCGGGCGCGACCCCTGCGTCCATCTCCAGTACGCACCACTCCGCGCGTGGCCCCAATGCTGGACATGAGTGAGGCCCGCGCCCAGCCGCCGTGCAGCCCTTCCGGCACCGCCAGCTCCATGTCGCACGTGGAGGATTCCGACTCCGACGCGCCACCGTCACCCGCGGGCTCCGAGGGCCTGGGCCGCGCGGGGGGCGGTGGCCGGGGTGACTCTGCTGAGGCGGCGGACGAGCGCTTCCCAGCCTGCATTCGTGACGCCGTGTCACAGGTGCTCAAAGGTTACGACTGGAGCCTGGTACCCATGCCCGTGCGGGGCGGCGGCGGTGGCGCGCTCAAGGCCAAACCTCACGTGAAGCGACCCATGAATGCCTTCATGGTGTGGGCGCAGGCGGCGCGCCGTAAGCTGGCGGACCAGTACCCGCATCTCCACAACGCGGAGCTCAGCAAGACACTGGGCAAGCTGTGGCGGTGAGTGTGGGGTCTTTGGCACTCTGAGAACTATCAGAGCGTAGGGACTGGAGGAGGTGGTGCCGTGCCCAATCTCGGGTTGTGCTCCTGGGCCGGTTCCAGGGTGGGTCCCCTGGAAAAACACCCTCTGGTCAGCCGAGACAAGGCGGCAGGTGTGTTGAAGGGCGACCGTGGAGATGGACCCAGGCCATTCTTGGAGTGTGACCCTCCAGCACTTTCTCGTCTCCTGGGACATTCTGCTGAGAAGAGCAGAATTGAGGATCCCAGCTGAGTAGCCCATCCTGGCCTGTGGGCACAGGGCAGGCACAGAGCCACTATGTTCTGAGCAGAGCTAGCTGGGACACCGGGTCGCCCATGGGAAAGGAGTCCAAGTCTGCTGGCTGGTACCCTCCCTTCACTTATGCTTCTCTCAGGCCTCCTTAACCTGGAATTGAGGAGGAAAGAATGGGTGAAAAGTGACAGGGGCTCAGTGGGCACTTTGATGCACTGAAGCCTGGCATTGTACTGGAAAACAGCATAGAAGTTGTTCAGCACAGCCCCAGCCGCACTCCCAAATGGCCTCTATTTGACTTTGAAACTGCATGTCAGTGGTTCCTCCCTTCTGTCTGGATAAGGGACATTGAGCTAGGCAGGACAGCACTGTTATTCCCCCCCCCCAAGCTCTGCCCCACAGGCAATTAGAGGTACAAGGCCTGAAGAGTCTAAAGGGTAGGGTGTGTGTGCTCAGAAGACAGGGGTCCAGTTTTGCTATTACTGCTGAAAGCCTGGAACTGGAAAGACAGCAAGGTCAGCTGCCTAGACTCCCAGGAAGCCTTGCCTTTGTCCACAGTGCAGTTCTCACTGGGTCCTTCCTGCCTCCCCCAGAGAGGGAAAGAGAGAGAAAACCCAGTTTGGAAAGTGGGGGACCTCAAGGGTAAGATAGAGAGGTGGCATCTTATTCCTTGGACTATAGTGATCACATATCCCTCACCAAACATGTCCCTTCCCTTGGGCTCTGGCCCACTGGTGCAGGGAGTCTCAGCATGAGGGCAGGTTACTAGCTGGAAAGTGTCTGCCTCTCCAGCACCCAGGCCTGTGCTCCTGCTGTCTAACTCCAGGCCAGCTCCCACAGCAATGTACATACCAGTGCTGTCTGGGCCCTTGGCAGCTCTGGAGCCCTGTGGCCATCCTTGCCCTGCTGTGTTCTCTACAGCTTGCTGAGTGAGAGCGAAAAGCGTCCCTTTGTGGAGGAGGCTGAGCGGCTCCGTGTCCAGCACAAGAAAGACCATCCAGATTACAAGTACCAGCCACGCCGAAGAAAGAGCGTGAAGACTGGCCGGAGTGACTCTGATTCTGGCACTGAGCTGGGTCACCACCCTGGTGGTCCCATGTACAAGGCTGATGGGGTCCTCAGTGATGCACACCACCATGGTGACCACACAGGTAGGCTCCAGGATACACAGAATGGGAACAGGCAGTAGTGGGGCTGAACTGGGGAGGTAGAAGTTCTTCCCTCCAGGGTTGGCACACCACAGAGAGCCAGACCTCTTCCCTGGTGCCTTGAATAAACCTCTGGGTGCAGCTGTTCCCGATACACAAGAGAAGGCCCCATCCAACACCCTGGAGATGAATGTTCTCAGTGGGACTCACCCACACTCTGTCTCCACTTTGCAATGACAACAGCATGGGTCAACAGCCCCAGCTTCAGAATCAGGCTGGTAGCCAAGCAGCCCCCAGTCAAGCTAATGGAAGACCAAGATCCTCCATTTACTTGGCTGAGATGGGGAAGAACAGGATTGTGTGGGTTCACCTTGGTCCTGTGCCCAGGGTCAGGCATTCTGAGAGTGCCCTATTAACACTAGCTCTGGTGGGGTCTGGCCAGCCACCATCCATCCCCCACCTTGGTCTTCAAGGAAAGGCCCCAGGTTAAGCACAGTGCTTAACAGATTTTTCTCAGCCAGTGAGTGAGGTCTGGGTCTGAGTTTACAGGAATTTCTGGGAAGGTAAGGAAACAAAAAGCTGTTGATTCATACCTGCGGCAGTAAACCAGGGCTGCTGGTGTCGCTCTTGGGCCCCACCCTGGTCCCACAGAAGGGGCATTCATCCTTACTATGTACTCTCCTCCTCAGGCCAGACCCATGGGCCACCCACCCCACCCACCACTCCCAAGACAGACCTGCACCACCAGGCTGGTGGGGGAGGCAAGCAGGAGCTAAGGCTGGAAGGGCGCCGCCTGGTGGACAGTGGACGCCAGAACATCGACTTCAGCAATGTGGACATCTCAGAGCTCAGCAGTGAGGTCATCAGTAACATGGACACCTTTGACGTCCACGAGTTTGACCAGTATTTGCCCCTCAATGGTCACTCAGCCCTGCCTACAGAGCCCAGCCAGGCCACTGCCTCTGGCTCCTATGGGGGCACTGCCTACTCCCACTCTGGGGCAGCTGGCATTGGGGCATCTCCTGTGTGGGCCCACAAGGGAGCTCCCTCAGCCTCAGCCTCACCTACAGAGGCAGGCCCCCCACGGCCACACATCAAGACAGAGCAGCTGAGTCCCAGCCATTACAGCGACCAATCACATGGTTCTCCCAGCAGAGCTGACTATGGCTCCTTCAGTGCCCAGGCCAGCGTTACCACAGCTGCCCCAGCCACAGCTGCCAGCTCCTTTGCCAGTGCACAGTGCGACTATACTGACCTGCAGGCCTCCAATTACTACAGTCCCTACCCTGGCTACCCATCCAGCCTCTACCAGTACCCTTACTTCCACTCATCTCGCCGGCCCTATGCCTCTCCGCTGCTGTCCATACCACCCACCCACAGCCCCAGCAGCAACTGGGACCAGCCGGTATACACCACCCTGACCCGGCCCTGAGGCCACTGCACGCTAGGGGGACTCAGCGTTCACAGGACAGACAGGTCTCTGAGGACTCCCAGAAGTTTGCTTTAGAGAAGGGTGAGGCAGCCAACATGGCCTCACTCTGTCAAGTGCCTGCCGAATCTGCAGGAAGCCAGGCTTTGTCACCCAGTGTCCCTTTGTTTCTGGATCTCCAAACTTCTGCCAAGGGACAGAGCTATCTTTTCCTTCTCCTCTCCCTCTGAGGTGACTGATGATTCCAAAACAGACAGCCATTTGGTTCCTCTCCTGTGAGGACAGGTGGTCACCAGTGCCTCAGTAGAAGAGTAGAAAGGGCACCGAGGTCCTCACCAACCCCACCAAGAACCTCCTGGGACCAAGGGATGTTGTTTCCGTGGTGATGGTACATCCATGGATATTCGGAGATGCATCCATTCTGGCATCTCTTGGGACCAGCTTGAGATTGAGGGGGTTTCTCATCACAGTTCTTCCCAGCAATTTTGGCTGAGATGAACACACTTCTCATGTTTATTTTTATTATGTTTTTGTAATTTTTATTTTTAATGCTTAAATGTGTTTGTTTTGAAAGCTGTTGACGTATTTATGTTCTGTATTATTTTATCTTTAATTAATGAAGTAATTTGTTCAGAGAGTAGAATTTAAGACAGGATGAAAGCTGGGAAAGATTTGTTTCACGAGGGGGCAGGTAGGAGGCAGTCCAGCACCTCACAGCATCGCTTTACTCAGCCTTCAGACAGCCTGGGAGGCCTGTGGCCAGGCACAAGAGGAAGTGATTAACCTCGTGGGTATGGTCAAAGCAGAATGCCCAGCACTGGCATCAGATCGGGCATTGGTAGGCAGGAGTGTCATCCCTGCCCTGATGGTGCCAAGCGATAGAAGACAGAATTTCCTTCAAGTTGGAGGCTGCAGAATCACAATTATCTTGGGTCTTCAGCACCAGGTGCCACCTACCAAGCTGTGAAAGGAAACCTCCTCCACTAACGGTGTCTAGATTCCTAGTTAGAGAATAACACCTGCTTTACTGCCCTGCTTCTCTCTGTGCTAAGTGTATAACTGTCTACTTCACGGGAAACTTGTGCCTTTGGAACTTTGTACATTTAAACACATTTGAGAAGTTTGCTTTTTACTTTTCTACTTTTCCTACCTTTTTTTAAAAAGAGAAAGACATGTCTTTTTTTTTTTTTTCTTTTAGCATATCTCCTTCTGAGGGTGATGGTGGGAACCACAGCAAACTCATTTTTATGTAGTCTATTTGTGTGTGTGTGTGTGTGTGTGTGTGTGTGTGTGTGTGTGAAATTCAAAAGACTTCTGCTGTCACTCGCCTGCTCTGTTTTGCTACTTTCTGACCAAGCAATGCTAACTTTTGTACAGACTGATTTGATAAAACTTTTAAAAAATGCTTTTTATCTACTTGGACCATGTTTTGTGTATTGTCTGGGGCTCCTTCATGGAGATTCCTAGCAGGGTGGCTGAGGCTCTGCTAAGGATCTCTGGTTCTGGCCTCCCCTGAACACTGCAGAGTTGGGGGTGGGGTTGGTGGCCAAGAGAATCCACCCAGATTCCCCCAAGGCAGGGGCTGCACCTCATCTGAGGGAGGTGACTAGATGCCCCTTCAGTCACTGGGTCTGAATTCAAACACTATACCTTTAGCTTTGTCTGGTTTCCTCCTTTGGGGAGTTGCTCCTCAGCAGGCAAAACGGGTCCAGATGGGCCCATGCCTGTGCTATTTTCCTCCCAGTTGAATCAAGGCTGGTATCTGGGTGGCTCTGCAGTGTGCCTCAAGCTGATGGGTGTTTTTTTTTCTTTTGTTTTGTTTTGTTTTTCCTTTCTTTCTTTCTTTCTTTCTTTCTTTCTTTCTTTCTTTCTTTCTTTCCTTCTTTCCTTCTTTCCTTCTTTCCTTCTTTCTTTCTTTCCTTCTTTCCTTCTTTCCTTCTTTCCTTCCTTCCTTCCTTCCTTCCTTCCTTCTTTCTTTCTTTCTTTCTTTCTTGTCCTGGCTCAGAGCCAGGCTGGGAACAGAGAAAATCTATCCTTCAGGAGCCAGGCAGAATTGTCTGCTTGGAGGAAAGTTTCTAGGAAGAAAATGGTTGAAGGAAAGGCAGCAAGTAGGGGCCCTTGCCAAGCCTCCCCGGTGCATGTGGCTGGTGGGGGCTGTGTGAGGCTGGGGCCAGCTGCATCCTAGCTATGCAAACTCAGCCTTGGTCCATGGGTGAAAGGGAGCCAGGCTTCCTGGGAACCCCAATGTGGAGTGGCTCTGTAGGGAGCACCAGCTCCTTTATTGCTTCCTTTGCTCCACTTTGATGAGCCTACTCTGGAGCCTGCCAAGAGCAATGCTTGGGAAAAATCACCTGGATTTATAAGGGTTCTTGAGGTCTGGGAGTACCAAGCCTCCAGGTATGGGGGATTCTAGGGGTGGGGCTATGAAAGCCAGGTTCATGGATGGCTACTGCCTTCAGAGTCTGCTGCCCATGTGGACCTGGTCCAGCCTGTCCTGCATCCAGCCAAAGGCTGTCTGGATCCATATGGCCCTCAGAGCTTTCTCATTGACACCCCAGACCAAGGAGAACCCCAGGCGCCCAGCTCACTGACAAAGCCTCGAGGCCTTGCTGCTGGGCTGGGATTAGTTTTGGGGCTTGCCAGGTTCCCTAGGGCTGGGCAGCCCTGCCAGTACTGTTGGGTCTTGGCAGGGCTCCTAAGTGTTAACTCCTGGGGCTCTGGCCCTTCTGTCTTGCCAACTAGCCCTGGTCCTCAGTTTGCCACCTGAGGGTCTCCCTGCATCTGAGTCTCTTAAAGCAGAGCACCAATGGCCTGTGGAATCCATGCCCCACCCAGAGCACAGCAATGCCTCTTTCTCTGCAGATGCCCTGTGCTTTGTACCTGCCTGTCCCTTCCCATCCTGACTCCTGGTCTGGCTTGGCTGAGGACACCCTCAGTCCTTTAAGGCAGAGCCCAAGGTTAGGTGTCCTGAGAGTTTATCTATACCAGGCTCCCAGTGTAGCACTGAGATTGTGACTGGAGCAGACAATTGTGGTGGTGAGGTGGGGCAGGGGGTGTTACTGCTATCCTGGTCCTCTAGCTAGAGTGGATCTTTTTGCCATCCCCAAGAGCTTCAATCTAAGGACATTTCCCTGGCCAACCTTGAGTCAAGTTTTGGAGTCCTGTACTCACAGAAAGCATCTATCCCATTGACTTGTCCAGGGGCAGGTTGGCAGAAAGTTCTCAATTTTCATTTCCTTATTCAAACAATGTTATCCCTGATCTGAACTGAGTGCTCTGTTCAGAAAGGGGCAATGGTACCCATCTGCCCCAAGAGACTGGAAAAGCCCCTCTGGGCTTCCTGGGGGTAATGTTAGCTCTTGGGAGCTGGTGTCTATTTGGTTAAGTTCATGACCATCCTGGCTGTCAGTTCCTAAAGGACCTACATTCTTCGGGCAGTTCCCATCTTTCCACCAGTTGCTCCCAGATAGTCAGATTTGGGACACTTGACATGCTGCAGCCCATGGTCTCACTTAAGGAACATCAAGGAGCGTGTCTGAGGGGCAGAGTCCTGGACTGGAATATGGACCCCCATCTTTCCTTCCCAGCATCTGACCCCATGCCCAGGGCCTCCAGCCCTGCTAAAACTTTCTGTCTATCCTACTTTTTGTCTGCCCCACTTCTTTCTACCTCATGTTTGCTGGGCCTACTGTCAATGGCATTGAGCCCAGAGATGTGTTATGGGTGGTGATATCCCAGCTATCAGCCATGAGGTAGCCCAGGTACTGGCCCTGCTATACCCTAGAGCCTGGCTCTGCCAACCTGAGCACTGCCACTGAAGGGACTGTGAAGCCCCTCAGTCAAGGGGAGCCTAGGATCTGTGGGCATTCATCCCATCCTTTCCTCTGATACCCTGACATTTCTAGGAGCTGAGGTTGACAAAGCGATGCCAGCCTCCCTCCACCTCCCCAGCTGCATTTCAACCCCTTGGGGTCTCCTACACCCCAGGTAACCCTGGCTGAAGCTTTCTCAATTCTTGAGCCTCTATATATGATGGGTCTTGAGGGGGCTGTTGTTCTGCTTATATATGAGTGGCATGGTGGACAGAGCAGTATGGAACTGTTTGTCTCCCCTGCCCCAGGTCCCTGAGAGCCACCTTGTCTTTTGCTTCATCCCCATTGGCTTTGGGGTGTGCAGTTGCCTCTGGGAGTGTCAATTTCCTTAACTGTAACTGAGAATTACTCTTGTGGAGACCAGGAGTACTCAGTGAGATCAAGATCTGCCTATGGCCGAGCACAACCGTGACTGTCCAAGGGATTATCACTCCCATGAGCCCCTTGAGATTCTTTTGCTCATCTACAAAATAGGTGGGTGGTTTGTGGTTAGAAGACAGAGAGCGATGGACAAAGTATGTATGCTCAGTGGGAACCTGGGGTGGCTACAGCCTTGCCTCCTTGCCTCCTCTTCACTCTTCCCCAGGACTGAAGTCCAGCTACCACTTGAGGGCCTGTTTCCCTTCCACTGCATCCAGACATCTAAGCAGTTTCCTGTGGGAAGGTAGGATGGAGCAGTGGTTAGAAACCATTTGCCACTTCACATCCCATGCCTCAGATTCCCCTATGACCATTGAATGTTGCCAGCCTTACCAAAGTTCCCTGAGGATAAACTAGCTGGGTCTGGAGTGGCTACAGCTCACAGGCTCACCTCCTATCTTGGCTAAATCTCAAGGGCACATGTCCCTGGATCCCCCTGGACCCTGTGTTAGGTGCCCCTCCCCAAGCCTTTCTGTCCCACTAGCTTCCCTCCCCCGTGAGGCTGGAGCTGGAATATGAGTGTGTTAACTTAGGGGCTGGATTCCCAAATGCACTTCTATGTCCTGTAGGCCAATCCTGGGCAAACGTTTGCCTTCTAGGAGACCCCCATCAGGCCCCTTGACTAGTTCATATCTAGATTCTCCAGGATACCCAGTCCAAAGGACCCCATAAAGGGTTAAGGGGCGCAGGCAGCCGTGCCCATAGCGGGTGGAGCGGCAGGCTGGTGGTGGGCCAAGAGCTGGGAAGGCACTGCATTTTAATGAATCGTTATTGCCAGCAAGGCCTTTGTCTTTCTTTATCCGGTGCACAATAAAAGAATTAATTAGACAGAAAATGGCAGGCCAAGGAACTGACAGGTCATTAAAGGCTGCTGAGTGACCGATGAGACACAAGCCAAGCGGAGTTCCGCCCTGGAATGATAATGGCCAGCCGGGCACTTTCTATGAGGACCAGCAGGCCCCAGTGGCCAGCAATGTGGCTACCATTATGGCCTGGGCGGACACAGAGCCCTGTGCCCTGGATAGCATGGAGAGAGTTGAACAGATGAAATTGTGTATTTCTGTGGAACCAGAGGGATCTTGAGAAGGTTGTTCTGCTCTTTGGACTTTCCTTCCATGGTTGGGGGTCAGAAGCAATGGGGTATGGAGATGGTGCTCTCTACATTGTGAGACATGAAGGGGGAGGGTAGGAGGGAAGAAGGGGAGACAGGGTAGGAGGGAGAAGCCAGCTGTGCCCAGCCTTGGCTACTGCTGGCCTGATTATTCAAACATCATCAGGAAATAAGTGTCACCCACAGACCGGCTCACACACTCTGAAAAATTGAGCTCCCTGGAGATCTGTGTCCTTCCCAGTGTCTACCAAGTGTCCAGAATGAAGGAGTCCAGACCAGAGTAGGAGCAGAGAGGCAGGCCAGTTAGAAGCCTGCACCAGTCTCTTTATTCTGTGTCTATCCCCTTAAGTTGGGCAAGAACCCACCCTAGGTTCCCACTACTGGGAGAATTCTCAGTTTGGTTCCTTCCCTGACCTGCAGGACTGTGAGGGAAGTGTAAAACCCTAGACTGATTAGAAGAGAGGTCTTCCTTGCCTGCTCCCTAGTGATGTTAGAAACCAAACAGGGTAGGTAGTCAACAACCCTTCCTGGACTGGAGATTAAGGGACAGGTGACACCACTCCTCAGGCTTTGCTGTGCCCAGATCCTGATATTGAAGCACATCTTCCCCAGGACTGCGCTGCCTCCTCTCCTATCATCAGCTGGGGTGCTAAAGGCAGGGAAGAGACCAACATTCACCATGGACAGATACCCGTGAAAGTGCAGCTGAACAAATTCTGTCCCTGGAGCAAGACCTTGAACACCAACTGAGCAACCGGGCTATGGGAGGGGGCTGCCTTGCATAGAGGCCCATTCCTGAGTGCAGTCAGAGGCAGGTGCTGGAGGATGCTGGGAGGAATGGTCACATTCAGCTCCTCTCAGAGCAGCCCTACACCAGTTTCCAGATAAGGAAATATCCATCAATATGCCTGTCTATCCAGCTGTTATCCATCCATCCATCCATCCATCCATCCATCCATCCACCTTCCCATC